TGCCTTCCAACTAAAAACTAGAACCAATATTTTAATGAAAAATAAACAGTATGTATGAAGTATAATATTGTAAACTACTACATACTTCTTGAGACCAGAAAGGGCACCTTTGATAGTTTTGCCTATAATACTCAGCACTGTAGCTTATATTATTAGGCACACAGTATATATGTGAGGATATCATTCCACCATTTTTAAGAGTATATTTAAGTTAACTTAAATATCTAGTTGCAAAGGCAAGCACAGCAATCTATCTGTAAGTCATACATATTTGTTCACTGGCTTTAGCAATGACTTGTTAATGTTCTAAAGCTAACCCTTTACTCAAAGTGGTTTTGTTTTCCTAACTGGCATATGAGCTTATAGACTGTAACTGTTTAATATTATGATCTGCTTCCAGTCCAACTGTAAACCAATGAATCAGAATAACTAAGTACAAGGTAGGCATACTCTCTTCTCTCTCTTCTCCAACAGATGTAGCCCAAGGAAAATTTTTCCCATGCCAAGTTTTGGAGAAGGTTTTATTATTCCAAGCTTTGCTGTAAGTGAAGAATCGAACTCAGTATTATTCTATTACATTATGCATGAGCCTTTCAGAGAAGTAGTGCATTTTTATCTGCCTGTGCTCTCTGTAGGAGATGGAGTAGAAGAAAAAGAATAATTCCTCAGTAGTTGTATGGCATGAATTACGATTATCTTGTTCAGTGCTTCAATATTCAAAGCCTTACATGCAGATGGCAGATGGCTTATTTTTGAAAAAGTGAACCAAACCCCCAGACCCCTAGCAGCTAGGTGGCTGTAACAAACACTGTCAAGTAGTAAAGAACATCAGGACATGATTCTAACATACCCGTGCACATGTACATACATACAGATGTATGTACACATTATAGCACCACAGAAAATATCTGCGCAGTCTCGAGAAAAGATCCAAGAAAATGTCCTGTTACAAAGGCAAGCATAGCAATACATATTTGTTACCTGGCTTGGTACATTAAGGTTTATGTTAAATCTTAGCACTGTATTTAAAAAAAAAAAGGACTAGGTGGACTGTAGCTGCTCAAAACATTTGAGCTTAATTCAAAATGATTCCAAGTGTCAATGAGAACTTGAGCCTCATGAACTGAAGAGGCCTACTAACCCTCTTGCTCACCAAATACGGGCCGGTTGCCATTCCTGTATCACCACAGCCAGCCAACGCTAGTGAGTCAGCAATGAGCAATCCCTCACCACTACACTAGCATGGGAGCACTTCCTGTTGGAAAGCAAGGAGTCTCTGCAGGGGTACACAACACACACCAGCACAGGCCTCAGGAAAACTTCTCTCTCACAGAGAAAAAGCCCTGAATAATAGGTAGCAGGTCCAAGTTTAACAAAGATGAAGCATTAAAAAGAACATGATTTGGTAATCTAATCCTGTGTTTACTCAAAAATGGTGACCATAGAAGATGATGGTAAGCAAAATGAACCCCAAGATATGGACACAAGAGGTCTGTCTTTATTGTTATTGTTTTAAATGTACCATGTGATTTTAATTTTTGGTGTTGTTGTTTCCATGGTACGTTCTCTCCCCTGTGGCATATCATCCCCTGTTGTTGCTGAACTCCATTTTGATGCCCTGCGTCTTGTATATCCATAAGTCTAATCTGGGGAGGGGAAACAAGGACACAGGATGACCCACTGCAACAAGGACACCCACAGGACAGTACACTGGAAACAAACTTTACAACTTCCGGTGGCCAGGGGGGAGGGAGAAGGGGGAGGAGTGGGGGCTTGGGGGAGGAAAGGATAGTGGGACAAAAACAAGGAAGGGAAGGGGTAACAATTCTCGACAAGTAATGTACTCATTGCCTTACTCATGTAACTATAACCCCTCTGTACAATATCTTAACAATAAAATTTTTAAAAAGTGGGTTGATTTCTATGCTGTTCTAAAAATAGGAGACTACTATCAAGATGCAAAATTATTTCACTTAAATTGATTTTTGTTATCTGATCATTGATACATTTACTATTGATGTGAAATTGTGTTGGTAAAGTTCATGAACTTATCATGTTAAGGGTTTAGGAACACAAGGCAAAAGCACAGATCTGATAAACAAACAAACAAACTGATTAGACTGGTGGTTTACACCTGTAAGCTTATCTATTCAGGAGGTTGAGATATGGATGATTGTGCTTCAGAGCAAACTCAAACATAAAAGTATGGTAGACTTCCATCTCCAAAATAACTGCAAAAACCCAGGCTAGAGGCTCAAGTGGTAGAGATCCAGCCAAGCAGGTTAAGAGGTCCTTAATTCAAATGCTAGTACAAACAAATTAACAGATTGTGGGGTTGAATCCAAATTCTCATTAAACCAAGAAGCTGACCCATTAGATATGTGATATACACACTCATAGTTGGGTTAAACAGAGGAATATCTGTAGAATAGGTAGCAGACCTGGATATGTTCAGGTCTGGAAAGTATCTTAACTGCATATATTGGCTTAATTATAGAGTAGCAGAGATGTTAGGGCCTATTTAAACCCTTAAAATTCAATAAAACGTAACTAAGTTGTGGGGAGTGTGCATTTGGAACCACTTGCAGAGCGGTGATAAGTGCAATCCTATTATGAGGAGAACACATATTAGAATTCCTGTGGATGTGACATGTGACTCTGTGAGTGGTCATCGGTTATTTATCCGAGGGGCTGTATGGCTTCTTGCTTGCTGAAGATGTACAGTCCTTAGTTTCCAAGCAGCTAAGAATTTTAAGGAGCTTGTAAGTTAACAGTAAATAAAAATTAAGTGCTTATAGAAATAAAAGTACAAAGCAGGGGTTGAGCAGTCAAAACTGCATTGAGTCATTAAATATGAACAGGAAATACTCAACAGAGTATGTGAGGAGATCTTCCACTTAGGACAAGAACATATTGTTCATGTTAGTGTGCATGTATCCTTATTGTTTCCTTCCTTTCTTAACTGTTCAACCTACACTTTCTAGCTACACAAAGTGCTTATGGAAGCAATAGTAACCATTACTATGGTATTGAATTCGTATGGACTGGCTGATATGTGTGTGATCTGAATTGTGTAATCTACACCCACTCATTATGTTTCCTTCACTGTAGTATAGATAATAATAATGATCCTCATTTTTACCATTTGGCTTGAATGCAATTGTGCACAAAAAGTATACTTCCTACCATGTATAGAGCAAATAAAATTCTATTTTTAACCGGGGAAAATAAAACTGTGTGTGTAGTAAGACAAAAGAAAAAAGGGAAGTAAATGAAGTCATACTAATTCCCCTAACACTATTACTCCACACCAATTTGGCAACAGTTGTTTTTTTCCAATCCCCCTACAGAGTCACTTGGTGCTCAGAAATGATCCAGAAAACCAGCACAGGAGCCAGGAGCAGATTTCAGAGGGAAATTGGCAAAGTGCTATGAAGAGCCTGAGTGTGAATGTTCCTGAGCTTAGGAGAGCTTTTGAGTTCATACCAGAGCCAGCTGTTTTCATTGCTGTGCCTCTTGTTTATTAAACAGGAACAGAGAAGCTACGATTTACATTTTCTCGACATGTATCACCAGAGCACTGATGGATTTTCTTAATCTGCTCCACCATGTCTCCCACGTGTCATTCTTTGTTTTACCATGGCAAACCCTAGCTGTGATTCTCTCTCTCACATGATTGATGTAGAGTGCTACACTTTTTATTTCAAACTTTTTCTAAAGAACCTTTCAGAAAAAATCTGGGGAATGTAACATAGAGAAAAATTCATGAAACCCCAATACATGTTTATTTTTCAGGTAGCTTAAAATGTCTATGAACCTTCTAGAAAAATGTTTGTTTTCTATTGTGAAATTAGCCATAAAATATGAAATTCAAATCTTGTGCACATTATTCAATTCATTACACTCTTGTGTTAATTACCATGGAATCCAAGGGCTGTCTTTGCTACCTACCTAATGTAATGTACTAAACCATGCCAACTTAGTAAATCAACAAATAACTCATGTTTTCTTACTGAATTCACACAACTATAAGAAAATCTTTTTGCTCTTACAAGCACATAATGAGCTGAGAAGATGAATGCATTTCCCATATTTATTACAATGCACTACATCTTTAATTCTTCTGTATGTCATACAAGAAGAAAAGCTACTAAAAATCAATATAACTGTGTTTATATGAGAATGTTTCTATAGTTTGGACCTTAAAGGCCTCAAAGGCCTATGTGAAAAGCTGAGTCACCAGCCTGTGTTGCTGCGGGATATGGTACACTCAAGAGGTTAAGGCATAATGAGAGGAAGTTAGGTCATTGAGGGATACATCCCTCAAAGCATTGCCATTTTCACCTCCCAGCTACTGAGGTGAAGACCCCTGCCCCCGCCCCCGCCTCATGCTCCCACCACCATGCCTGAGAAGCTCTTTTCTAACGTTTTACTGTACTTCTCTGTCTGGTCCCAAGTTTATTTTTCAATCCAAACTTGCAGTGATTAGCTGATGACAAATAAATGAGAACATCAGATTTTTCTGATTGAATTACGGTAACACATATTGGCATCTCAACAAGGGTGAAGATTGAAAACTGGATTCTGGAACATTTGAGGACTTTCCCATTAAGCAATTTTCCACTCTTCAATCCATCTGTACCAAATTGTTATTGACTGCAGGGCAGAATGGCCTAACCAATTTCACAGAATTACTTTTTGGTATATGGATTACAACAGCATATTTTATCAAATATCCTAGTGTCTAGGACAAAGGAAGAAAAGCAGCTGGGATAGTAGTATCATGTCATAAAGTCAAGATATTTGTGTCATGATTTGCCTTTTAGAAGACACTAGGCCTACTTTTTCATATTTGGTCTCTTACAAGTTCATGTGAAAGTGGTAGACACACCTGTGATTTTTAATTTACAGTTTCCAAAATTCTCTTAACTTCATTATTACTTTATCACTCATTCAACACTTTAACCTAGGATGGGTTACCACTTCTACCCCTACCAGAAAAAAATCTTTACAAAAAATCTCTGCTTTTTACGTGTCATCCTTGCGCAGAGGCCATGCTAATCTTCTCTGTATCGTTCTAATTTTAGTATATGTGTTGCCAAAGCAAACACAAATCTCTGCTTTTTAAAATGAGTTACTTTCCTATTTATGTCAGAAAAATGACTCAAAAGTAACAAAATGTTTGGTGTGTAAATGTCTAGGAAATCTAACATAAACTGTAATTTTCAGGTTAGGCAATTATTATTGCTATGCTATAGTAATAAACAACAATAAAATGTACAAGACCATATAGATAAAAATGTTATTACTATGACTGTTTTTTTTTTACATAAACTCTGTCACAAGCTTATTTGATTTTTCTGACCAATTGTTTCCAAATACCCATGTACATCGATGTTGCCCAGATTTGGAGATTTTTTTCTTCCATGTCAATGTGAGGTCTCCATCCTTCACCAGCAAAGGGGTGAAGAGGTGTTAGAGAGCCGTGGTTAAGCTTTAATTGCTTCAGCCTATGGAATATATTCACAGACATCATTGGAATGAATGGAGTGTGGAGTAAGGGAATCTACATTTGAGGGGTATCTCTGTCTCCTGTCATATCTTTTTATTTCCTTCAACCTTCTTAAATATCTTTAAGTGGCTGCAGAAAGGAGTTGCCATTTGACACAGCAGTTTCTGGATACAATGCATCTTGATAAATGTCACCCTTTCCCTTTGCACCCCTTCCCTCGCTTTTCTTAATTTGGAAGGATAGACATTTAATTCATGGCTGCATCCTTCTCCTCTTCATTCTTCTCCCCATCTTCCAATGACCCCCTCAACCCTTTCAAGAACTTGTTTCCTGGTGTTCACTTTGTTCAACTTTGACTTTGCCTTCCTGTATTTGAGTTTTCCCTTGAATCTAACATATTTCAGTTAACACATTTATCTATACATGCACCCAATGTATTTACTTATAAATTAATCTACCACGTTCACCTGCTCTCAGCTCTCGGCTATGTTACCCATGCTTTCCTCCCACAGGGAAGCACGACATTTTGGCCCATCCTAAGGATCTGACACATACCTGTTAAATAAATAATCTAATTGGAAATATCAGAAAGATTGTAACTTATAACCAAAGGCTCAACTAATTCATGACACAGCCAGGCGTGTCTGGTTTTCTGTCTGTAAACAGTTTTTCCTTTTCACTTTCTGCAGTAAGTTTAATTTGGAAATGAGCAGTTCGTGGGAGAAGGCTGTTAAATACATCTCATAGAGAACCTTTACTAAGAGTCAGGAAAAGACAGACATTTTCTTCCTCTGCTTTCACAAAGCCAACAATTCTTTGTGTGTGAGATTTGGAGGTGTATGAGTTAATTGCAAGCACCCTTTGTAAACTCAAAGAAGAAAACTGTTAATGCTTGCCCAGAGTGCTTTCAAAGCCTGAAGACAAAACAACTGTTTGCCTCTTAGCTTTCTATTGTCCCTTCACATTTATTTTCAGACTACAGGGACAGACAAGTCACATTGTTTCTAATGAGTCACTATTTCTAAAAGCAGAACTCTATTTGCATGAACAACAGCTGTGGGTCCAGCCTGACCATCAGGAAGGCTGAAACCTAGCCTCAAATAAGTAAAAAGCTTTTTCCTGTTCACTGGTATCACCTGAAGGAGGTCACATTTCACTAAAAGACAGCCAATTAAAAGTATTAGTTTCTAAATGTGCATACATAGGCACGGGAAAAGAAACAGAAAAAAATAAGATTACTGAAAAAAATATGAAGAAGAAATCAAATGTAGTGTAAAATCCTACATCTCGAATATACAGCCACAGTCAACATCTGCCAAAGAGTTTTCCAGACATGGAAACTCTCAACAACTTAGAACTTCAAGGAACTGGTTGTTTTCAGAAGCACGATCTAAAGTTACACTGTACAGGCCAAAGCCAAGAGCTCTGGGTTAGATACTATCTGTCACCTTGTTTGACCTTGAATAGTTACTTCTTTTTAAATTTTTTCTCTTATTTTATTGTAAAGATATTGTACAAAAGGGTTACAGTTACATGAGTAAGGTAATGAGTACACTTCCTATCAAGCATTGTTACCCTCTCCGTTTTTTTCTCCCACTATCCCTTCCCTTCCCCATTCCTTTCCCTCCCCGAAAGCTGTAAAGTTCATTTCCAACACAGTGTCTTGTGAGTAGCATTGGCGCAATGGGTCATCCTTCTTGTCTTTAATCTTTTCTCCCATTGCATTATCGTGTGTTTTCTCAGGGTGGTTATAAAGACAAATTGAGGTTAAAGTATGTCAAGTATCAGGCACAATGCTGGGTTTGCTCAGGTAGCTAAGGAGAAAGAAGCATGCTTTTACTTTCCCAGGGTCATAGAGATTGTGATTACCTGATTGTGATAACAAAGGGAAAAAGGGCTGTAGTCCAGTCATCCTCTAGTGGGAGCTGAGTCCACACCTTCAGCTCTTTTCAGATCATCACTGTGATTCACTGACACTGAACTGGGTTTTATGGAATGCTGATATTTAAGTTTATTGAAGTTCTTTGTAGAGCCATTCTCCTAAAAATAACATTGTCATTATGTATATTATATAATTATCATCTGTTATGAAAATTATTAGGCTCTTCACATTGTATTAAATTCTCTCATTAATGACTTTGCTAGCTACATTTTACAGATTAGGAACCGAAGTGGTTTGCCCAAGGATCTGTATGTAATAGTAGAATTCCAGACAGGATTCTAGATCTACTGACTTTAAATTTGAAGCCTTAATTCAATAAATTTGCTACCTATTTTACTGGGTGTCACTACTTTGAATTTTTTTTTAATATTTTTTAATTGTCTAAAAATATGCTTTGAAGAGAAGAGTTAAAACTTTCTGGTATTTGAAAGGGATTGTGGCATTAAGGGGAAAAGGATAGACACATGAAGAGAAGAGGGAGAGAATGTAGTGGAGAATTCAAGGCACTTAAGAAGAACAAGGGAAGGTGTGCAGAAGGGAGAGATGCGTGAGAGTGCTCAGGGAGTAACGCTGAGCAGATGCACTGAGTTCAGAGCTGCTTTGTCCAACTCCTTTGTCCAAATGATTAAAGATAATTTTTTAAAAAGGAAAAGAACTTGCAAAACAAGACAGCATTTTATTAATAGACAATGTGTCTGATGGCATGCTTCATCAAGGGAATGATAAGGGCAGGGATAATCTTGAACTTTTAAATTTCTCTAAATAAACGGAATTATGAGAGGCGCAGGGGACTATTCAGAGTTCATTACTTAAGATCATGAAAACGCTGACAATTATACTGCATACCTCAATGCTATAGTCTTTCGTGATTCTTATAGTAATTTTAAATCAGGAGAGGTATGTAAGAGGTTAAACCACAGATTCAAATAGTATAAGAAAATTCAGCATTTTTAACTTTAATTCAGAAATCTCTTTAGACTATCCTATTTTCTCTCTCCTGAGAACAACTCTGAACCTTTTTGAACCCTGTCTTCCACAGTCATATCCCAGAACAATTAACTTACAATAGGGGGTTCTTCTTTATAGATCATCATGGGCTGGGCAAAAGCCACCAGTGTGAGACTCTGGCGCACCAGCACACATATCTCAACTAGCTTTGACTGGGGAGCTAGAGGAGGAAGTCCTAGTGAGAAACGTAAGCAACTCCGTTTCATTTAAGACCCCATTCTCAGTTCTGCAACTTAACCCTTGACCCACTTCAGCCCCAAGGCCTGGAATTACGATATCTGAAATTCCAGAACTGCCCCTCCTGGGGTCTGGTGACTATTATCTAATCCAGACACACTGCAGTTTAGCACCTATCCTCTTGAGACTCCCCTGTGGTGCAAGCCAACCAGTTTAAAGTACATCAGCCCCCTTGATCTAACCAACAACTTGTTTCTGGTCCTTTCCTGCGTTGTAGTGTGCCAATCATACTATAGAGTTGTTTTATGATTTTCCCACGGTTTACAGTGGTTTGTTACAAGAAGTTATGATGTATGCAAAGCCCCTGCCTTCCCTAAAGAAGTGTATAAAAAGTGCTGTAACCCTGGGCTCGGGGCCTCTCAGCATCATCGGCCGCTGCCATGTGCACGGGGGACCAAGCTCGAGCTTGCATTAGAGACTCCTTCGCTTTTACATTGGTGACGGTCTCTAGTGGTCTTTTGGGTAAGGATTTCCCAATTCGGCTTTACACTAGGGGATCTTCAACTTGGTGCAGACCTCCTGGATGAGAACTTTCCTTCTAAATCAGTGAGATGGATACTTGAGATACTTGGGAATATTACTTTTGTAAAAAAATCACAATGACTGCTTTCATCACAATGAATGCGTTTTTATTTTAGAAAGAAATGTAATTAAGTGACTCGCAGATCAATCACTCTAAATTAATCAAGAGAAGACAGACATTAAGTCAGAGGGGGAAATTGGTCAAGAGCAGAGCAAGTTAAACGCTGAGGAATCATTAACACCCATTCCACAAGGCGCAATGTTGTTAGCTCCGGTCAGACAACGGCCCGGCACAATCGCTGTCTCGTCCCTCGTCTGTGGAAAAACACTGCGTATGGAATGTGTTCTCAAACAACTTAATTTGCTTCTCATTAAGGGGTTTGTCGGTGACTATCATAGACGGATGCGTAAATGAGAAGCAAGGGTATATTAAAATAAAAATTGTTTTTAATTGCAAATATTTAACCTTAAACTCAACTTTTATTTTGATGGAAATAACTCATTACTGTTTTGGTTTTCCTCACTCCTATATGCGCAAGTATTTGTTTTATTCTAAGAAATACTGAAAGTTACCAACAACATTGCAGCAATGAAGGAGCCCTACTAATGGAGCTCCATGGCCAACTATGATATAATTAACAATTAAGTGTAGAATAACATGCGAATACATTAGTCTTTTACCTGTAATGCATGGAGAAGTCCCCGTTACCTCTAGGAATCTCAGTCTTCCATCTCCTGGAGTGTGAAAATCAAGCCTTCCCTCCCTCCCTTCTTCCTTTCCTTACATGGTCAGTGTTTAAGTCGCCATCAGAATCTGTGCTTGGAAACGTGACACGTGGAGAAACTTAAGAAGTTGTTGATGACTGAAATGCTCTGTGTAAGGGCACCAG